TAATTTGTCAGCCTAGCCAAGGGCTTTGGAAGCAAAGTCACCTTTCTGTGTGTACAGCAGGATTTCAGCTGCAGCCTCCGAGACTAATCTGCCATTTTATTCAACACTATTTTTATTTGTTTCATTTTGCCTTTTCTACCCCAACTGCTCTAGCATGTCTGTCTTTTCTGGAGGTGCTTCTCTGCCATGTTGGGTGGGTTATTTTTCAGGGTTGGAATAAATAAATCTGCTTGTATTGGAACAAGTTTTTGTTTGTGGGGAGCTCATTGTGTTCTTGCCTTAGAAACAGCTCTGATAAATCTGAGGTTTGTGTAATACCATCTTCCCTTTTTCCTTCCTTCAGGGTCACTCTGGGTGTGTCAACTGTCTAGAATGGAATGAAAAAGGAGAGTAAGTATGTGGTTTGATTTGGGGGGATCAACAAACTCATAACCCCAGGTTTTCCCAAGAGTAGGATGTAGGTCATCTTATCATAAGCAGCTGCTTCCCATTTCTAGTCAAGTGGAGCTCAAGCTCAAAGTTTTAGCTGTAGTAGAGCTCACGCTCCAAAAGGAGCTTTATTTTGTTAAATATATCTGGATATTATTAGAAATGCCTCTTTAGTGAGTTCAGAAGGGAAATGGTCAGACTAAGAAGTGGAGATTGAAGGCTGCTTCTCTTCTCTTAAGTGGTATTATGGATTATAATGGATCTTTAGGATTTGCCCAGCTGGTGGTGACATTTCCCCACCCCCTTCACCATGCTGTGAAAAGCTGCTGCTGGGGGACAAATGTCTAAGAGAGGGAGGTAGAGAATTTACCCCTCTTCAGTTTTAGAGGGAAACTCTAGAATTTACCCCTCTGCAATTTTGGAGAGGAAACAGCTTTTCCATTAGCCAAGTGGAATAAAGAGTTTCTACTTGAGACATGAGTGGATGGGAGGAAGAGTATATATTTCTAGACATGACTCTTACAACATCCAAAATCTGCTCTCTGAGACTCATCAGAATTATTTACCAGTGAAACTTTCATGGGCTTGGAAGAGATTTGACTACAAGGAAATGAGCTAAAAACAGCTGAAGGGTGCAGATGTCAGATTCCTCTGGCTCAGCTGCAGATGGATGTACACCTTGCAGCACCTCTGCCCTCACACTTCAGAAGCAATTTGTGATTCACTCCATGAGCCCTGGCCTGGGACTGCTTGGGCACATCCAGAGACTGGGAATGAATTCCTTGGCTTGGCTTCAGGGATGAAGCCAGGATCATAAGGAAAATGGAGGCCTTGCATCTTGTTGCTGACCAAATGCTCCTGTTGTTTCCCCCTGTGCCATCAGAATCCATGGGGAAGTGGTTCAATCAGCTGAACCAACCAAAACCACTGGCTTTATTTTCCATGGAGTTACTGTTTGGCTGGTTTAGCTCCTTGAGCTGGCTGAACGGATGGGCACATGTGGAGCAGCAAGAACACAGAGGGAGGAAGTGAGCTGAATTAACTTAATGGATGATTGTGGTCAGACCGCGCTATGAAATTGGTCATGGTTTAGAACAGAAGAATACATGAGGCAAACTTCTCTTCTGTTTCTTCCAGCTTGTTGGCCTCTGGCTCTGATGACCAGCATACCATTGTCTGGGATCCTCTGCACCACAAGAAACTCCTTTCTATGCACACAGGACATACTGCAAACATCTTTTCTGTCAAGGTGTGTGGTTAGAAGGAATGAACAAAATCAGCCAAGGTGTGTGGTTAGAAGGAATGAACAGCTAACAAAATCAGTAGCCTAAGCAGCAAGAGAATAGATCCTTGCTGGGAAACATTTCCTGCAGGTTTCTCTCCCAAATAATTTAATTTGTGTAATGATAGAAAAAATAAAAAGGTGTTAAATCTAATACTGCACTTCTCAGCTTATGCAGCTCCCAGGTTTATCTCATTCCCTTGGTAAATTCAAAGGGAATGGTTGTAGCAAATTGGGATGTGTGATGGAGAGACTGTTGTGTGTCTTGAGTGTGCACACTGACATGTCTGTAATACAGTTGATAACATGGGTTATCTCTGCTCTGTGTCTGCCAGAACAGCTCAGTGATGTCCATGTGAACAGCCTCAGCTTTACTCCAGACTGAATGTCCCATCTCTCTCCCACAGTTCTTGCCGCATTCTGGGGATCGGATCCTCATCACAGGAGCTGCAGATTCCAAGGTGCACGTGCATGACTTGACTGTCAAAGAGACCATCCACATGTTTGGAGATCATACCAACAGAGTGAAGCGGATTGCCACGGCTCCCATGTGGCCCAACACCTTCTGGAGTGCAGCAGAAGACGGGTTGATCAGGTACAGAGCTCCAGTTGGTTTGGTTTGAGGATCCATGGCAGTATGTCCTGTGCATAGATCTGAAGAGAGACTGTGTACTGAAGAGCCTAAGCTCATCTCTCCCTTTCCTAAAACTGGAAAGATTCATGTTGGAGTGTCATCTGATAAATACTCAGCTCAGCTCCTACATTTTACTCCACTGAAAAGTTTGGTCACCGTGGGAAAGCTAACCCTCTCTTAGTTGTATCAGGGGAGGGTTAGGCTGGATATTAGGAGAAGGTTCTTCCCCCAGAGGTGTTTGGGCACTGAAACAGCTCCCCAGGGCAGTGGTCGCAGCCCCAAGGCTGACAGAGCTCCAGGAGTGTTTGGCCAATGCTCTCAGGCCCAGGGTGGATTGTTGGGGTGTCCTGTGCAGGGCCAGGAGTTAGACTGATGATCCTTGTGGGTCCCTTTTAACTCAGGGCATTTCATGATTCTCTTATTGCTGCTTCTGGTTTCTCATGACCCAATTGCCTGACTCTCTCCCCTCTGCAGACAGTATGATCTGCGAGAGAACAGCAAACGTTCTGAAGTCCTGATAGACCTGACTGAGTACTGTGGGCAGCTGGTGGAGGCCAAATGCCTGACAGTGAATCCTCAGGATAACAACTACCTGGCAGTGGGGGCCAGTGGGCCCTTCGTGCGGCTCTACGACATCCGCATGATCCACAACCACAGGTAACACCACCTGTTTCTGGGCAGGTGTGTGGTATGGGAATCTGAGCTGGGAAGGAGGACTTGCAGGGATCTGCCACTCACCTCTCTCACTGTGAAGTTTAACTCAGTTATTTCCATCACCAGAGATTTTACAATCTCCAGGACAGTGGGGTGGTGTGAGGTTGGTGACCCTACAGCTGTGTAGGCATGTGGCATTGTCCTCGTGGGTGGACAAGAAGTGTCAGTGTAGATCAGGCTTCCAGCAGTTGAATGCTGTGATTATAATAAGACTGTTGTTCTTTCTGGCTAGAAAAAGCATGAAGCAGAGTCCTTCAGCTGGAGTACACACGTTCTGTGACCGACAGAAACCCCTCCCGGATGGTGCAGCACAGTACTACGTGGCAGGTGAGGCACCTGTGCTGGGGGTGACTGGTGGGACTAAAAGTTAGTGCCTGAAGAAGCAGAGTTGTACCCATATCACAAGAAACCAGTGCTTGAAGGAGTTCTTCTCCAATACAGGGATTGGAGAAGAATCCTCTGCAACTGGAGTTGCAGTTTATTTGACTTCTCTGCTGTGAATTCTTGCTGATGGTCTCTGGTTTGGCAGTGCTGTGTGCTGCTGAGTTGGCCTTGCTGCTTCTGGTCCAGCATAAATGTCTTTTTGTCACTTTTATTGGAAAGTCAAGGAATGGATCACCTGGGCACTGTAGGCTCTCCTGGAACTGGTCCCAGCAAAGCTGCTGTTCAGAATCTTTTTGGCACAGAAGGGAAGTGACTTGTCCTCATCCTGCGGATGAAGAATCAGTGATGCAGTATCTGAGCAATCTGGATGACATTTTTCTCCAGTGCTTGTTATTTACTATGTTTTTCTCCCAAATGTTTGGGTTTTTTTAAAACACCTCAGACCAGCACATTCAGCAGGGCAGTTCTGACAGTCTTGTTTCTGATGAGTCCCACCAGAGGATTCCTCAGGTCCCCTGAATTGGTCATGCAACACATCTGCTGTCTGAAGCAACAGAACCTGTGTGTGAGCTGAATATTTAGGAGCTTTGGTTGTGCTGAGGCCTTCATTAAGGAAACCTGATTAGAGGGTTGAAGATGGAGGTATTTGCAGATGGCCACAAATCACAAAAGCCAAATCCTTAGTGAATCCCTAAAACTCAGATTTGCTGGGTTCTGCAGGCTTTGTTGTTCACAAGGCAGTTATAATCCAGGCTTGACTTCATATGGAGGAGACCTTGCAGAGTTAGAATCATGGAATGGTTTGGGTTGGAAGGACCTTAAAGCTCATTTTCTTTCACCCCCTGCCATGGGCAGGGAGACCTTCCACTAGTCCAGGTAGCTCCAAGCCCCATCCAGCCTGGCCTGGAACACTTCCAGGGATGAGGCATTGATCCCTAGAACCTGTGACAAGGCAGGTGTGCACACCTATGTGTTTTGGTGGCTGATGGAAGGATCCAATAAACAATAGGAAGTGGAAAATCACATAGATGCATATGCTTCATGACTTTGCCCTTGTAAAAGGAGCAGCTGAGGCAGGACAAAGACAACAGTTACTAATTAAGCCAATAATTAGGGACTTCTCCTCTCCACAGGGCACCTTCCAGTGAAGCTTCCTGACTACAACAACCGGCTGAGGGTTCTGGTGGCCACATATGTCACCTTCAGTCCTGATGGCACTGAGCTCTTGGTCAACATGGGAGGGGAACAGGTAAGGAGACAGCAGAAGTTTGGCAGAAAGCTTCAGATGTGATTGTTGGGTCACTGTACATTGTCATGTGTTCTTGAAAACAGGTGCAGCAACTTCTCTGTGGGCAATATGATTGATTTTAAACTGCCTTCTGATTCTTTCAGACTAAATGCTTGGGATTAGAGATTTATTTGTTATGCTGTCACTGATCAAACTTAAACCACATTCTGTTCTGGTTTGCCAATGCACATTTCACTCTCTAGAAGAGGGATAAAAATACAAACCAGTTCTGGAACTGACCTTTGCTGACCTAGAGAAGATTTCATAACTCATTCTTGAAACATCAAACTGCTTCTGTAATAGAATCCAGTGAATAAGGAACTCTGAGAAGCAAAGACCTTCACCTGAAATAGTGATTGCTTTAATTTTTAAGTGCTGGGTGATATTCATGGATCTTTTGTAAAGCCTATCAATGAAATGAGAAAATCCTTCTGACAGCATTAAGCAGCATGGATTAAGCAAGAACTTTGCTTGTGGGCAGGTTGCACTGTGGTTGTCCTCTAAAGGTCTCTCTCACACGTGCACTCATTCCCTTTAAGAGAAGGTGCTGAGTAGATGAGTCACAGGTCTGATCTGGGCTGTCCATGCCTGTCCCAGTACAGCTGTAAATTAGGATTTCACAGGGAGTTTCTTAGGAAATCCTGGTTTCATCCTAGAGAGGCTCTTCACTGGGTTTAATGTACTGCCTCTTATCTGCCAATAAATGTTTCATGTCTTCATGATCACTGTGTTAATTAAAATATCTTAAAGGAGCTGAAGCTTTCTGAGCAGGTTGGTTAGTGGTCAGGTCATCTTTTCAGCTCTGTATGTGTGGGGAGATTTGTTTTACCTCTGGAGAAAGACAAGGCTTGTGTTTCTCAGCCTTAATCTGTCTGAACCCAGTGCTGGAATGGAACACACCACTGGAACTGCTGCAGTCCTGTGTGCATCCATCCATAAACAAGATTCCCAGTTAGAAAATGGGGAATAGCAAGCACAAACATGGGACTGTACACCCATCCAGCCCTCTTATTTATGTGACTTGAGCATCTATGTTCTCTGACTTTGTCTCCTCTTTTTCCCTTTCCTCAGGTCTATCTGTTTGATCTGACATACAAACAGCGACCATACACTTTTCTCCTCCCAAAGAAGTGCCACACTTCAGGAGGTAAGTATGATGCTGTCAGCAAAGGGAGTGAAAGGCAGAACGAAGTCATGTACAAGACTCATTTCCAGGGTGCAACAGGGAAATGAAGCAGGGCATGGCTGTGGCTGGGCTGTCTCTGCAGTGCAGTGCATACCCTGAGATCCAAAACCCTTGTACAGAGGGGCAGAACGTGTCTGGAGGAGAGAAGTGAGCTGTGGAGAGGTGGAGGTGTGTGAGCTAAGGAGAATGCTTAAAGCTGTGCACAAGGATAAAGTAGACTTGTGCACAGTAAGTGGTTGAGGTCCTGGTATCCTGCCTTCAGCTGAGGGAGAAACTTTGTGGACAAGCATGGAAGTTCTCTATTGGTTTTGTGTTTTTTAAACTTCTTAGTGAAATGTAGACTACAACTGTTACCTCCTTACACACCCATTACAGGAGACAGGGCACTCTCTTCTCTAGTCTAACAATCTGGCCTGGTACTAATGTCCCTCCTAGAATCAAAAAGTCATTTATTTGGCCAGTGGGTGTATCCAAAAGCCTACTAATGTCCCTCCTAGAATCAAAAAGTAATTTATTTGGCCAGTAGGTGTATCCAAAAGCCTTTTTTTCCTGGTCCTGCTTCCAACAGGGTCTGTTTGTCCACAGGTATAACAGGCAGCAGGCAGTGAATGGCTGCAGCATTATTCCCCTGACTCCTAGCAGGGAGTGTTCCCTGCTCACCTCTTCCCTGCGTGACCTAAGGCACACCTTAAGCCTCAAACACTCCCATCCTGGTAGCACATACCTGCCCTGCCTTTCTCTGCTGTCTGAGTGTGTGTGGGTGATTGTGCTGGACTATCTGGTGAGGTCACACTGGCAGGATAGTATTGGGACAGGCTCCCAGAGGTGCAGCTGCACCAAACACTCCACCCTGTTGGGCACAGAGAGTTCAGGGAAAGACTGGGAACAGGTGTTATCAGGACAAAGGCTGAACTTCATGTGCACACTGCACACTGACATCTCTGAGCAGCCCAAGCAGACTGGTTGGACAGTGTCCCCAGTTTCCCAGCCTGTGGAGTGGCTGCAGGAGCACTCCCAGCTGCAATGGAAATGCAGTTTGTAAAGTTGGAGCTGGATATTTTCCATAGATGTGACTGCCTGATTTGCAGGGGATTGCTTCAGCTTGCAACAGCTCCTTGAGCAGCAGGGTAAGAAAAGAATGAAAGGGAGAAAGAAAGCATCTGGAATTCATCTGCTGGATTCCTTCAGTGGTTCTACTCATCCTCCTTGTTCTATTACATGTCCAGCAGCTTAACTCTATGATCCTTTATCTGTGTGAGTCTGAAACACAACACTAGTGTCACTAAATGCTTCTGCAGTTTTGGGACTTTTCACAAAGACATGTTGTGACAGGACAAGGGGGAAAGGCCTTAAGCTGAAGGAGGGAAAGGTTAGACTAGATTTTGGGAAGGAATCCTTCCCTGTGAGGGTACTGAGGCACTGGCACAGAGAAGCTGTGGCTGCTCTGTCCCTGGGAGTGTTCCAGGCCAGGTTGGATGGGGCTTGGAGCCACCTGGGCTAGTGGGAGGTGTCCCTGCTTATGGCTGGGGGTGGACCTGGGTGATCTTTAAGGTCTTTCCAACCCAAACCATCCTGTGATTCTATGACTCTCCAACTGTGGCCTAGACTCAGTCACAGGCAGTTCTGTCCAAGCTGCCCTTTCTGTGTGTGACCACTTAGTTCTGTGTGTATTTGCTGTTCTGGTCTAGAATGGTATTGAAGAGATTTGTTCCTAAATATGAGAAGGCAAATCAAATCCAGGTGGCTGGAGGAGGTGGAGCATGTGCAATCCAGGATGGTTTGGGTTGGAAAGAAAAGGAGCTGTGGCATTGGCTTGGCTCTGCTGTAAAACAAACCCTGAAGCTGCAGATATGAGTTTGTATAATCTACATCGATACTTTGAGTGGCTGTATATGTATTTATTTATTTCTTTTCTAACCCTCAGAAGTGCAGAATGGAAAAACCTCTACCAATGGAGTGTCGAATGGCATCCCCCTCCACAGCAACGGCTTCCGCCTGTCCGAGGGCAGAGCACACGTGAGGTAAGGGCACAGCTGCACCTCCAGGAGAGCCCGATGCCTTCCTCCTTGTCCTCTTCCTCTTGCCAGGCTGAGGGGCTGCCTAAAAGGTGTGAAGTATAAACCCACTTGCTGTGGTGACTTAATTTTCAAGTGGCCTCTGTCCTAGGAGCTTCTCGTGCTGATACCGAAGGCAGAACAAGTCAGATCAGGGAAGGGCAACCTGGGAGAGATTGTCCATGCAGATTTTTCTTCTCTTATGACAAATTAAGGTGGACAAAACTAAGAAGTGACTTTTCAGGCCTGGAGGCAAGGTGTCTTGAGTGGTTGTTGCTTTCTGTTCTGCCAGAGCTGTATGTTGGTAATGGGAGAGGCTTCCAAGTGAAAGAGCCATGTCTCCCTTTGCCATGTTTTGGGGCACTTGCCTGCTGCAGACTGAACTGAAGCAGCCAAAATCATTTTAGGACTGTGACACTGGAGTCACTATCCCTGCAGTCTGAATGTGAGCTAGGAGTGGATGGAGAACCCTTCTATTATTCCTGCTACTTTCAGTCTTTAAGAGCAAAATGCAATTGGGGCGAAGCAGCAGCAGCACATCTTGGTGACTATTTTTCCTCCCCAGCTGATGAGATGTGGTCCAAAGTCAAGCCAGAGTTGTTTAATACCATATATGGGTAGTCTGGGTTCCACCAAAGTCACTTTGGTGGAATGTTTCAGCTCATTTCCTCTAGATGGCCCCTTCACCGCAGCACTGGGAATGGGGCTGGAATTTTGGGTAGTGGAGCATGGGCCTTGTGCAGCCCTGTGAGCTCTCAGAGGCTTCTCGATTTGCATTGTTACACAGTGCCAAAAGAGGATTGGAAATACTGTTTATGCAAGTCGAAGCAAAGATGGTTTGGTGAATTCTGATGTTATAAATTCCCACTGCTCAGTTTGGAGTGTGTCTGTACGTAAAGAAAACATGGGAGCAGTCAAATGATGGTCAAAATGATGTAGTCAGACTGACAGGGTTAGATTGGATATTAGGAAGAAATTCTTCCCTGTGAGGGTGCTGAGGCACTGGCACAAGTTGCTCAGAGAAGCTGTGGCTGCTCCATCCCTGGGAGTGTTCCAGATCAGTTTGGATGGGGCTTGGAGCAACCTGGGCTGGTAGAATTTGTCCCTGCCCATGCACAGGGGTTGGACTAGATGACCTTTAAGGTTCCTTCCAACCCAAACCATTCTGTGATTCTATGGTCAAAAAGAAACCTTCCTCCTAAATTCAGATTATTTAGGTCTAGGATCTCTTCTGCCTTTTCCTGAATCTTTTGGTATTAGCTAATTCTCACTGGGACTTGCTAAGCTAGAACAAGCCACTGCAGATATTTACCTGGAGTTAAGGATGTGCAACTTACCTGTGCTCCTTCCTTCTTTCCCTTCAGTCCCCAAGTGGATTTACCTCCATACCTGGAGCGGATCAAGCAGCAAGCCAACGAGGCCTTTGCCTGCCAGCTCTGGACTCAGGCCATCCAGCTCTACAGCAAAGCAGTGCAGAAAGCCCCCAACAATGCCATGCTGTATGGGAACAGAGCTGCTGCCTACATGAAGCGCAAGTGGTAAGGGGGCAGAGAATGTCAGTGTAGTGTCACAAGTGCCTGACTTCCAGGGGTCATGGATACCTTGTGGAAGTTCTTGGTTTTCCTGTGTGCAGGGTGAGGTTGAGGTTGTTCGATTGAGCCGTAAGTGGGCACCTCTGGCACAGCACAAGGGGATGGCATAGCAGTGTGTGTTGGAGAAAGGCCAGCACAGCTGGTAATACCTCATCATTTTGCTTCCTGACATGTTGAGTAAAGTTCCGATCCTTTCCTGCTCGAAAAGAAACCCCAAATCCACATCTGAGTCACAGCATTATGGGTGTCTTCAAGGGTGTTTGCCTTTATTTGGGTGGTTCTGATCTGCATTAGGGCTCTAAGTCTGCTGTCAACAGATGAGGTAATGGTGACTGTGCTTTATAACAGCACATCCCATGATAGAAGGTTGTTTTAGGATTGCCTGGGGCAGCTTTGGTTCCTGCTTTATCCAAGTACTTCATACTGCAGATAGTCAGACCTGGTGCTTCCTGTGTTGCCCCAGTTAACCCACACTTCCCCTGACTGGAAACAAACCTCTTGGATGGATTTGGGGAGGTGATAACTGGTGCCTCAGAGCCCAGAGGGGATTCTGTCCTGATGGTTGCAAAACACCCTGTCAGCCTCTGCAGTAGGTAATGTCTGCTCTGACCAGTGGCCAGAGCTGCATCTGCAAGATACAGCTGAGTTATTTTAGTGTCTGTCCCCTTGAGCAGAGTAAGACTGAGTAGCATGACTTGCCATTAACATATTTAAAATAGCTGTGGCCCTTCATCTCCATTTGCTTTGTGAGGATATCCTTCTCCTCTCCCTGCTGAAATCCCCAGTATGAATTTTCCTCTCTTCCTGCCAAGATAAAGAGCAGCCAGCAGTTGTTGTGACTGTTGGTAACTGGCCTACTGGCTGTTTTGCAATAGCAGAGATTTGGGAGCTGCCTCAAAAAGACCTCAGTGTTCAGAGGGAGAAGAACAATAGGTTGGGATTAAGGAATGGAAGGCAGAAGCTGAGTGCTGAGCTCATGAATGACATTTTTCTTATAGGAATCGTTTTTCCCAAAGGGTGTTGGCAGGTCTGAACCTTTCAGTGTGTCAGCTGAAGCTGCTACAGTTTTAGGGAGCAAGAAGATGTGAAAAATATACACACAATGGGTTTCTGTGGCATGCAGTGGGCAGAATTTCAATAGTACTGAGCTCATACCTTCCAGGTACAGAAAATGGGCAGGAACAGCTAGGAGCAGCTGCTGGTGTGTGGAGGAGGTGTCTGAGATGTCACTGAGCAGAAGGGAGAGGCAGGCAGTGACCCACACTGAACCTCTGTGTGTCTCTGAGATGTTCTTAATGTTCAGAGCAGGAAGAGGTACAGGCCATCCTCAGAACCCTGCAGGTCCTGCTTTGGCCTCATTCTCTGAGTAACAGAGAGATGGAGAAAAAAAGGAAGGTCTGTGATTTCCTCACCTCCCCTTGCTCATCTCCCTTAAGATGCTGTTCAGATTTTGCAGTGCTTCCAAGGCTTCCCTTTGAAATTTTGCTCCTGAAAGTCAACTGCATCACCCTCTGGATTGCTTTTAGCAGTCCATGTTGACAGGACTGAGTTGATTTCTAGTTTTGCACAAAAAAACCTGTAACAATGGGAGAAGTCAGTGTCTTCTTTACATCCCACCAGTCTGTGGGGCTGACACTGGTAGTTGAGATTGAAGGATGGCAAAGCAGCTCTGAAAATGTGAGATACCTGTCTGTCATCCTAACAGGCAACTTGCATTCCCTCTGGCTTGGAATAAAAGTGGCCTGGTGCTACTTTTATTGTGTGTCCAGCATCTTGGATTTACACAGATGCTGCTGCAAGGACAGCCCTGAAGAGCCATGATCCTTCTGCTCTGCTGCAGATCTCATGGACAAGGCGTTTCACCTTCTGACTGTGCTGGCAGGTGGCCAATATCCACCTAGACAGGAGGGAGCAATGGGGTGAATGGTTTGCAGAACAGACTTGTGGCACTAAGTGCTCCTTAGTTTGTAACCCAAAGATTTGGACCTCCCCTTAATTAATCCAGACACTGGAACACCTCTTGCCTTTTCCACCTGAACATGAGGAGCTTCTTCTTTAATCTGAAGGTGACA